CCCATAAAGACCCCAGGTCCACTGAGGGAAATTAGTCCATCCTTCCAGACACAACTTGCCCATCCCAGCCCTCATGCCTAGCGGGGAGAAAGTTTATAGACAAGAGAGTCAGCCAAGGAATTGGCCCTACCAGCAGAGGTGGCCCTCAGTGGCACTCTAGGCGGAAGACGCAAGTGCAGCCTCCCAACCAGTGGGTGGCGCTCATAACCTATGTGCTGGTAGAGGGTGGAGCTTCGAAACCCCACCCCCTGCGCAGGGGCCGATGGGAAATAGGGGCGGGGCTGAGCATCTTGGCAGTTAATCTGCTGGGCTTTGGGGCAGTTAAGCTGTTGAGGCTCTTGGCCAGTTAAATTGCTGGGGTTTTTGACCAGTTAAAACTGCTGGACTTTTGACACACAAGCTACTGGGCGCTTAGGCAGTTAAGCTACTGAGGCTCTGGGCCAGTTAAACTGCAAGGGGTTTGATCAGATAAACTACTGACTTTTAGCCAGATAACTGCTGGATTTAGGGGGAAGGCACGTAAATGGCTGAGGTTTTTAACCTGTTAGGCTTCTGGGGTTTGGGCAGTGGAACTGCTGGTGAGGAGGGGGTGTCTGAAGAAGCCACCAAATTTGCCACACAACGTTTTGGATTGGCCTTGGTTTCTCTGGTCAGTGCACGTTGCCTGGGGTGGAACAGACGACTTCTGGGCACAAGCCAGTCTGGGAGTTCCCTCTGGCTAGCTGTCTCCCCTCGCCCCACCCCTGTCTCACTCCTGTGTAAATAAAACTTGCTATCGTTTCATAGCAGGTACTTGCTTTTGGGTCTTGTTCTGTATGTCAGTGCTGGGGTCATCTCCCCTGGGGTGTGCTCAGTTTTAACTTCACTCCCAATGTTGGGTAGCGAAAGGAGAGTGTAAGCTAAAGATTTGGTCCTAAGATGACTGGGGAGCTGCCACATGATGAGTGGGGGAGAAGCTATCTGTAATGAGGTAGAGGAAGGGGAGGGGATGGTGGAAGTCAGAAATAGTCACTGATGAGAGCTGGAAAACAAGCTGATTTTAAAAAGCTGATAGGAATGCTGGTGAGGCTAATGAGCGTGCTGCCCAGAGCAGACTTGCCCAGTGTGACTCTAGCAGTCTCAGCAGTCGGGGTGCAGGGGCAAGCAGGCGGCCATCACGCTCATTCACTGCTATGACTTTGCTAGTTGGTACTGCCAAAGGGTTAAAGTGAAGGGGTTGGCAACAGAGAGGAATGATCTCTCAACAGAAATTGAAATAATGGCTTATATCCTCGAATCTCAGTATAGAGGACAGAGTGGGGAGAAATAACAAGGTTAACAGACCAGAGGCCCAATGAGGTTAAAGAAGGTGCTTTGGCCTGATCCATTATCCTCCCAAACCCTCAAATATATCCATTGAGACCTGGCTTCCCACCCCCTATCCTGGCCATGGGATGGGATTTGGAGGTAATTCAGGCTAGATTTGAGGTGGTTCTCATTGTGGGATTAGTGGCTTGGTAGGAGAGACCGAGATCTTGTCCTCACCACACACATGTGCCGAGGGAAGTGTCTAAGTGACCAAAAGGTCTTTTGCTCACCACTCAGCCAAACTCCTTCGCGAGAATGTCTTTTCACAAAGGAATTCATTACATGCAAGGGAGACACCCAGGGGAGGGGTCAGCAGGACTAATAGCCTAAAAGAGCCTGCTTCCCTGAATGGTGGGGTGCTATGACTACATGGGGGTGGGGAGGGCAATGTTAGGAGTTGTGGGAGAGAAAAGGAATGAAGGGCTTTGCATTCCGGGGTCCCCGGAATGTCCAGGCAGTACAGGCTTTTGAGTTAACATTTTTTATTTTCTTCAGCAGAGAGTGTTCTATTGGGGCTCACAGCCTGTAAAATCCAGCAGATGCCCTGATGTTAGCAACATGGAGGGACAGAGAGAATTTCGTTAGAACATTTAGAGAATAAATTGTGAAGGGAGCAGTTTAGTGAAGGGAGAACAAAAGGTGCTTAGTCTTTCATCCTACTGAGTTCTTGAACTAAGAACTTAGTTCTTAGTTGAAGCTATAGGTGGGGGGTGGGGAGTCACAGCTTCATGGGCACAAAGAGGAGGTGGCGATCTGCCAGCCAGACCTGCTGGCACCCTGATCTTGGATGTCCAACCTCAGGAACTGCGAGGAGACAAATCCCTGTTTTCAGCCACCCTGTCCGTAGTGCTCTGTTTCCACAGCCTGGACACGCTAAGACTGGTGGGAATGTCGAACAAAACAGCCCAGACTGGACCTGGGGCCAGAGAGAGGGATGTCTGCTTTCGAGGACCCTTCAGTCCCCTGTGCTACAAAGTTTTGGGATTTTGGAGGATATGAATTTCTCCAAGATAGCGGCAGGGCTGGAGTGGAAGGGATGGCCAAGAACCAGGTTGTTTTAGTGAATGAGGCAGTGGCAGTTGGAAGTCAAGTGAGCGAGGAAGAGGTTCTATACGAGGTTTTTACAAGTGGCAGGGGCCATGGTATACCGGACAGAATCGGAGCCACAGGGCTCTCCTTCACCACTCTGGCAGGAAATGCTTCTGAGAGGGCTGAGGACTCTACCACTTCTGCTCCAGCAGTGCCAGAGACACAGGCTAAGACCAGGGGTGGCAACAAGTTGGGGCCAGGTCAGGGGAACAATGTTGAAAAAGTCATCCACAGGGACAGTGTTGGTGTCCCCTGGGCTTTGAACACTGAAGTGTTGAACATGAGATGCCCGTTGTGTTGACTTCGGAGTGTCTCCAAGGAGGACAGGCCTGGGCCGAGTGGCCAGGACGTTTCTTTCGGTAAAACCAAAAGAAACTGAGGTGCCAAATTCTGCACCCAGGACACAGGCCAGAGGAGCCACCATGGGAAAAGGGTCCCAGCTCCTGGCTCCCTCTGAGATCCAGCCTCCTGTAGAATCCACCACTGTCACCCCGCTTCTGTCATCAGACCGTTGTGAGGGTACAAGGAACTCCCTAATGCGTGCGCCTGACTCCACCACCCAATCACGCCCTGCCTGGTTTCTCTGCTCCTGCTTTTGCCCTCTTCCAACACAATCTTCAAATAGATTTTTAGTCCTATTGGGTCTTTCCTCTCTTTAGGGAAAAAAGAAAAGCATGACTTTTTTTTGCCCCAAAAACAAAGCTCAAAATTAAGAGTGTGGCCTTACACATCCCATCTGTGCCCAGTGCTACAAACCCCAGAAATTCTTCCAGATATAAACCTGCCCATTGCCCTTCTTTACCCCCCAAAGCACTCTGTCTCCCCTTCATATGGCCTGCAGTTCTCTCCCAACATGTCCACCACTGGGGGCCTTCCACACCCCACAACAAGGTCAGCTGCCTTGCTTAACACAAGTACCTCTCCTTATCCCTGGCATTTGCACTGGCACTGGAGAGTTTATAGCCGCAGATGACTCGTGGATAGCTGTTCCTAGCATGCTCCTGAGAGCAGGCTGACATACACGGGGCCCCCTGACAGATGAGTGAGTGAGGGGTCAGTGAGCAAGACAGAACCCAGCTTGGGGACTCGGCCCTGCCCCACGCTGGCAGAGCTTGGGTGGGTGGGAGGTGGTCCTCTCTTCCTATCTCCTGGAGCTTGGGGGACAGACTGCTGGAGGCTTTCCCATTCACCCCCAGCTGGCCACCCAAGATCAGAATCCCAGAGGATCACTGGAAAAGAGCCAATGATGTCACCCATTCTAAACTGGGACACTGGGAGCCCAGAAGAGGAGACCCCCTGCCCTGGAGGCCAGAGATGCGAGCTGAATCCTGATTGTTCTTTGTGGAACATCCAGTGAAGAGCCGCCGCAGCCCCGTTGGGGCCTGCCACTGTCTGACCCCCACCACCCCAAGCCCCTTTCTATCTTGCTCCTCAAGTAAAGTCAAAAACAGCCTGCAGACCTCCTCAGTGGTCCTCACCTCAGCTGCAGACCCACAGCAGCAACTGCTAAGGACTCTCCACCTGTAAACCAGAACAAGTCACAGGGCACATTTGAGCACATAAGGAGAAAAATCTTCCTCCCCTAAGTCCGCAATCCCTAGAAAACTTTAAGTCTCTGAAGACCTTCCCAAAGGCAATCAGTCAATGTGTGAGGCTTGAGCCTATTTAAGTCCCTTTCCAGGAGTGAAGCACATTTTGCCTCAAAGGGACACAACGAACTCGAGGAAACTGCCTTCAGCTGGAAAAGTCACACAGGGCATGTCCGCGGGGGGACTGCTTGTGCCAAAAAGGAATTTTGAGTGTTGGATTGAGCTCAGGACTCCCGTCAGTATACACTCAAGAGAGTGTTCGCCTACAAAGAAGAGAACCTCGAGTAGTACACATCCATGTATTCAAAAGAGGCTCCAGCCCCCCACACTGGACTTACAAAGACAACCAAACCCTTAGCTACCACTCCCTGCAGTCCACTTAGAAGAGGGAGAGGAGCAGAGGGAGAGAGTATCGGAAAGAACACTAACTTGGGGTCAGGGATACCTGTGGAAGGAGAGACTGAACCCCACTGTGGTGTGAGGTGAGGTGGAGACGCCTTTGAAGTCCGGACAAGGGGAGGGCCCCCCCAGTGTGGTGGCATGAAGCTGTGTGCTGTTAGTGCGGGCCAAGTAGGTGCCGGGCGAGTCGGCTGGCTTGAGGCGACTCCAGGAGACCCCACGAGGGCTGTCTTCTGAGGCAAGGTTGGCACAGGAGAGACCACGTGGGAGCAAAGCTGGGCGGCAGCTGGAAAGGGCCCCAGAGGTCAGTGGTGGGAAGGCTGCTCATACTGAGGAACAATGAGAGAGCCCGAGGGGGTCTCTGGGCAACACACAGTTCCTGTCTGGTCTGCGAGGAGCTTTTAGACGCCTGCTGGATGGCGGATGGCCAGCCAGCGTGAGTCCGGAGGGCACTTCAGCCAGAGGCCTGAGGGCCAGTGGCCCAAACACCTCCGCCCTTCCCCTAGCCCTGAACTGCCCACTGGCTGTGCAGCAGTCAGGTCCAGCAGGTTGTGAAAGGGAAGAGGGGCACAGGGGAATAGGACCCACCTCGTCCCCCACTGCTGGCCCCCGAGTCACGCCGGCTGGGCACAAGCGAGCACCCCAACCTTCTCTTTAGTCTTTGCTTCCGCAAGCCTGGCCAGAACCCACACTCTCACATTTCTCCTCTTCCTACTCCCACATACTTGGAAAAGCCCTACATAGGTGTTCTGGTTTGGGTTTGACACTGTTTTGAGGACAGGGGACCCCAGAAGGGGACACTGTTTCTGGGGTCTAAGGTGAGGGGTCTCTAATGAGGCTGCCAGAGAACAAGCTAAGCCCGAAACACAACCTGGACCCTACGCCAGGGCAGGGTTTTAGGGGTGGGACTCTGGGGATAACAAAGGGGATGGAAGGAGGGAAGTGGTCTCCCCTCATCTTCTGTTTTGGGCTCCACAGCATGCAGCTGGTGCTGGGCCAGGTCTCGGCGGCTCCGTCCAATGCAAGGCTGGCCTGCTCATGGGTTGCAGCCATCTCCAGGGTCAGGTGTAGGCAGCTCCCTGTTAGTGCTGGTCTGGCTCCTCCAGACACCATCAGAAGTATGTGCTGCTCACAAAGGCCACCCCTGCCCTGGAAGTTTTCCCTGTGTCCTCCGCTTCCTTTTCCGAAGGTGCTGACTCCAGAGACCTGGAGGGAGCAGAAAGCTGTCACTCATCAGGAGCTGGCCCCATGGCGCTGCCCCTCACCAACAGCACCCCAAATATAGGGAATGCTAACCCAGAGCCAGTTACACGTCTGTGTTTCCGGAGGCCCCCATGTTGAGCATAAGTAACAATGGACAAATGGTGAGGGAGAGGCCTGACCTTCTGGTGGGGGCCACTGGTGGGAGCAAGCAGCTTACCGTGGGCGGGGCCCCTGCTCCAGGTCTTGGATGGTGTCCTTCAGGGTCTGGCCACGTGTCTCTGGCAGTAGGGCACAGAGCAAGCCCACTCCAATGGGGAGGCTGCCGTAGATGACCATGGGCAGGGCTTTGTGGTATTCGCCCAGCAGGATCACCAGTGGTGTGATGATGCCCCCAATCCTCGAGAAGACGCCCACCAGGCCCATGCCTGTCTGCCTGGGGGTGGCCAGAACAAAGTGAATGGACCCAACCTCCACCCTGGCCTGCTGCTTCCCAGGCTGCACGCAGCCTCAAAAGGGCCCAGATCCCCGCCGTGGCTGCCACCAGCTGCAGGGTGTTGGGGCCCTCCCAGTGCACCCAGCCTTCCCACTCTCTATCCCTGTGCACTGAGCCCACTTAAAATTTCACCATGAGCCATGTTTCTCCCTTTAGGCTTCTCTGTCTCCTCCTACACCCCCACAATCCACCGTCCACCAAACCCCAGGTCAAAGGTTACATGCGCCTATGTCCCCAAGCACCCCGGACCCCACCTGGGTGTCCCTTCTTCTGGGCCGTTCATTCTGAGATTTCCCCCTCATTCCAGTCCTGACCAGAGCAGAACATGGCTCCCTCTGTATCCGTTCTCCACCAGCATGGGGACAGATCAGAGGCTTGGAGTAGATTTCTAGCGACCCTGCACCCCACTGCTGTGCTAACGCCAGCCCCCTTAGCTATGTGGCAAGACCGTGAGGGGGGGACGGCCAAAGCCAGGGTCCCAGATGCAGAAGAGCAGGAGGCAGCGCTTACCGGAGCACGGTGGGGAAGAGCTCAGCTGAGTACACGTAGGAGATGGTAAACCCAGCAGCTGTGGCGAACTTCCCCACCACGGCCAGCGCAGTGACCACCTCGGGCAGATCTGGAGGAAGATGCGGTCAGCCCCATCACCACTGCCCATAGCCCCGCCCGCTGCCTGTCCACCCAGACTCCACCCTCTGTCTCTAAACCCCAGGGATGCCTCGCTCCCTAAAGGGAAGCAGGGACCATTGGCTGAGCCCATGGCCGCAGGGGACCCGGAGGGGGTGGGGGACAGGGGGGAAAGCCTGCCCTGGTACCTGCTGGGATGAAGATGATGATGATGCACATGAGGCCACCCAGAACCAGAGTCCCCATCTGGCTCCACTTGCGACCCAGCCACTGCATCATGAAGATGCTGGAGTAGCGGGCAGGCACCTCCACGGCCCCGAAGATCAGCTGCGTCAGGTAAATATCCAAGCCAAAGTCTCCCACTTGGAGACTCAGGCCGTAGTACCCCAGACTGTCCACAAACCTACAGAGTGTGCGAGAACCTGTCATCATTACGGGGTGATGAGACGCCCTGACACCGGGAGGGAGAGCCCACCCCGGCCTGAATTCACACCAAGAGGGCCTGAATTCACACCAAGAGGCGAGGGCACAGCCAGGGAGGGGCGGGCATTTGGAGACGGCCCACCCCGGCCAGAGCGCCCCTCCCACCACAGCCCGCTGGCTGACAAGGAGCCAGTAAGCGGCAGCCCTGTGGCTCAGGCCTCAGGGCAGGGCGTGGGCCATGCTCTCACCAGACGCAGAAGAGGATGAGGGTCACCTTCCGGAGATGGGGATGTCTGAAAAGATCCAGGGCATTCCCCGAGGGCCCTGTCTTCTCCATGGCCAGCTGGGAGGAAGACTCAGAGTGAGGGGACTGGTTGCACAGCCAGATTCAGAGGCGGGGCTGGCCCAGGCCTGCGACAAGTACCTGGTTCAGAAGCTCTGGGGAGAGTTTTCTCCTGTTGACCACAGCCGCCTTCTGGATCAATATTTTGGCCTCCTCAACCCTCCCCTGGGTCAGGAGCCACCGTGCAGATTCCGGCAGGACACTGTAGGTGGGAAATGGCTGTGACCCTGGGGCCTGGAGACCTGGGGCCTCCCCTGGATCCTTCTGGCTGTTCCAGCTTGCACAGGAAACTCACACCTCTGCAGGCTCCCTCCCCAGATGCGCCTCCTGGGGCCCGGGAGGTGAATATGAGCCTTGCTCACCAGCCATAGCTGGCACAGCTAACCCAGGGGCTCCTTGCCTCTGGGAAGCATCTTCTCACCAGAAGTAGAAGAAGAGCAGCAAGACAGGCGCTGTGCCAGCGATCTGGAAGAGCCGCCAGTTACGGACGCCATAGGCCAGTCCCGCCAGCACCATCAGCCCGATGGAGAAGGTACACTGGGCCAGGACCACAGCCTTAGTCCTCTGCGAGGGCCCCACCCACTCTGAAACTGCGAACAGAGAGACTGAGCCAGGGGCCAGGCCCTGCCCAGGAAGCCTGAGACTGGAGACCCGCCCTGTAGGGGTGGGAACCGAGACCCAGCACAGCAGGTGGGTCTGTGCCCGCTCTAGGTGGGTGCGAGGACCTGACAAGGCCCCGAGGCAGTCTGAAGAACACGGCCAACCCAGACAGACAGACCCAAGACCTCACCCTGTGACTGAGAACGACAGGATGACGGCCCGATACTCACGCAGGGCGACGTTGCTAAAGGTGTATCCAGCCACAGCAGTGGCCACAGCAAAGCGCAGGGTCATGTAGAGCTCAAAATTGGGCACGAAGGCCATGGCCAGGCCAAAGAGGGCGAAGAGCACCAGCTGCACCAGGATTGTGATCCTTCGGCCAATCCTGGGGTAATGAATGGACAGAGGTTGTGGGGGAGCGCCCTGCTGGGGCCTACCTGAGGGAAAAAGGAAGCCTGCCCTGGGCTCCAGCCTGCCCTGGGCTCACCACCTTGGGGGGGGACACAGGGCCCTAACCTGGGAGTCCATGGGGGAGGGGCAGGGCCTTACCCTAGAGGCCAGAGGGAGGGGCATGGTGGGGAGGTTGGGGGGGACCAGAGGCAGGAGTCAAGTGAGGCTGGGGCAGCCGGCCGGGGTTCTTACCAGTCGCAGAGAGGCCCAAAGATGAGGGCCCCAACGAGGAGCCCAGCCATGTACACTGACTGCGAGGTCTCCTTCAGGTACCTCCGATCACAAACCAGGTTGAACTAAGGCAGACACAGCAAGTGGGAGATGTCAGGCGTCTGGGGTCAGCGGACGCGGTTCCTTTATCATTTAGCCCACCCGCTAGGAACCAAACTCCTTGGCTCCCAAACTGTGTGCCAACGTACACCACGGCACCAGAATTAACTACGGGGATGCGTGTTTTAAAGTAGCGGGATACTTTACAAATTAAGGCAGTAGTCAACACCATGGAATTACACAAATTGCTCTCTCGGGAGAGTTAACATGAGATCACGCTACCTTCCTTGCAGCGGCATGTTAATCTGTGTGAAGTTGTGTTTTGGGCAGTTAGTGTGGAAAAAAAGGCAAGCACCTTGTGAAAATGTGGAACAGAAAGTGAGGGTGGTGGTAAAAAGTTATGCAGTCTCCAACAGGCATATACACCCTGCCAGTAATAGTCTTCATGAAGGAAATAAAAACACTTTCTTTTTTTCAAACAATTACTAAATTGTTAGTACTTGTTGCTTTGGACCAAATTACTTAATACATAGAGCTGTCAGGTATTTCCTTTCTCCTGGAGACACTCTTCAAGTCACCGACACAGAGCATACAAGGTTTGGAAGACTTTGCCCACTCATTGCTGCTTCCTAACCAACTGGGCATCTTCCCACACCCTGGGTACTGCTGTGACCCAGCTCGGCCTCTCCAAGTTTTCCCACCTGGCTGCAAAACCCCCCTGAAACTCCCATCATTCACGGGCAATCGGAATGCAGAGGAGCCCTCACACAACCCAGGAGGAAGGGAGACCAAGGTGGAGGGCGGCGGGCAGCGCGCACATGCACGCTCACGGGAGCTGGGGTCGGGGTACGGGGCTGCAGGGTAGGGAAAGATGCAGCAATGCCCCAGGGGCCCACTGAGGACGGCTGGGAAGCCGTGGAGCAAATACGTTGTCCATGTTGCTGCACCGTTTCTGCTGCACATGAGCGTCCATTAGGCGATGTAACTCACCTCTGCCCCTGCTGGTCTGTGGCCCCTGGGGGAGTTCTGTGCCCCCGAAACACTCGGTACACAAAGGCGTGTTTGGGGGGGATGGGTAAGGAGATACAACAGGACGTGTGAGCTCATGGAGACAGCTGCATGGCAATGTGTGTTTCCTGTGTTGGGTACTATGCTAAACGCACTTCATGCTTTCGGTATAATTCTGATCCAAACCCTTATAGTCCCCCAAGGGAGGAAGTTATGCAGATAACCCATGCTGGGAGAGGGGGAATTCAGAAGTCACCATCACCCAGGCAGGCACTGAAACTGAGTGAGAGCTAGGAATGTTTGTGGACCCAAGGAAGGAGCCCACAGCTGGCCAACTAGTCAACCACCGCCGTGTAGATGACATCCAGCAAATGTCCCAAATCATGGGACATCATACTAACCCTCAATATTCTCTCTGTGTAGAAGCAGAGACTGCTGTTAAGATTCAGAGAGATGCTTAAGAAATTAATCCGAGAGACACGGTTGTGCTCATACTTCTCAAAGACAACTGTTAAATTTTTAGAACTTTCACTGTGCGTCAAATGATTAACTGATGCCCCCAGAGAACGAAGCCGGGCGGGACAGAAATGGCCTCTGTTATTCCACCTAGTTCTAAGCTGCTTGGGTTTTGTCCAGTATCATCTTTACAGTTAGACACTGTGATATCTTTGTCAGTAGACACTATTTAGGATTAATAACTGAGCTCTGCTGCTGGCAGCCTCGGACGCTGGCATTGAGTGACTTTGAGCCTGTTAGCTGAGGTGTTGGCATCTCGGTTTCCAACGTACAAAGCAAGGACAGGATCTACCACACACTGGAGCTGATGGTATGAAGGGATGGACGCACGTGGCCCAGTGCCTGCCACGCAGGAAGGTCATGGTAATATTAGCTAAGGACACTCTGGCCCCTGCGTTCATGAAGCTGGCGGCCTGCAACGGACACCTCAGACCCGGGCTGTAGAGCCCTGAAGGCAGAAGTGCCAAGCCAGGGGGCCTTCACTGCCTCCCTGTCCTTGACACGCCTACCTCTCATTAGCACCTCACTCTAACTTCACCAGGGAGGTGTCGTTCCCATTCTGCAACTTGGTGAGGTGCCAGGGTGTATACCAAGCGCCAGGGGTGGCATCATGTTATAGATGAAGAATTTGAAAGGGGCTCCAATGTGGGGTTCCAGTCATGAACCTCCCCGGCCCTGGGTCCGACCCCCCCCACCCCACCCCTGCCTGCCAGTGGATGGCTGCGTCTGGGTTCTACCAAGGTCATCCACAACATCACATCACCTTCCCTTCTTTCGGACTCTCCAATGGCTCTCTTTGGACTGTAGGAGAAAAACCCAATTCCTCAGCACTATATCCAAGACCCTTTAGGAACTGACACTGTCTGCTTTCCCACCTCGTCCATGTGCTGGCAATCCTCCCCCGTGCCGGGCAGTTTCATGCCTCCACACACTGACATTCTCTCGGCACCCCCACCCCGCCCTCCCCATTCCTACTCTGTCTTTGGTACCAGGATACGTCACACTGTTGCTGCTGTTCATCGATGGTCTATTTCTCTCCCTCTTCAGAGGTTCACATGGACAGGGCTGGCAGCATTTTTCTTTTACTAAGGATTGGTACCCAGGAGATACTGGACACTAGGTGGAAAAGGAGAAATGCACCCTTTCCATTAAGAAGTGTACACTGTTTTTTCAAATTAGGATTGTTTATATTTCCGCTGACTATGAATCTGCTGGCTGTGACAGGGAAACTTGGGATGTCAGCTCAGGGGGCAGGCTCTGAGTTGGTGGGGAAACCCGCCTCATCGGTGGGAGACAGACAGAAACACTGATCCCAGGCGAGCTCCCCTCTGTTATGGGGGTGATGATGTGCAGGGGACGTCCCAACGGTGTACGTTCCCTTGGGAGTGGAAGGAGTGGGCCGTCCAACGTCCAATGCCAGCAGCAGACAGCCTAGGCTGATGGCAGAGGTCAGAGGCCCTGATTCCTGAGAGTGACCCATGCTCCTCTCACCCCTCTGCTCAGCCCTCTTCCAAGCACAGTGATCTGCTCCCTAGATGTACCACCTGCTTCCGACTGCCAGGTTTTCCTTCGGCTAACCTCTGTTTAAAAGGCCTCCCTCTCTTGTCTAGCAACACACTTCTGGTACTGATACCCAGTTCACATTCCACTTCCTTCAGGAAATTGCATGCTTTCTCCCTTTCTGGGGCAAAGCAAGTTCTGGCCTCAAAACCCACCCAGCCCTTTCTCACTCTGCAAGGAGCCAAGAGCTCCCCGTGACCACCAGGGGCCCTTGGAGAAGGAAACAGCGGCCTCCCACCTCCACTGTTCCCTTCACAGTCAGTACTCAAGGGACTTTGATTGAAGCTAAAGAACAGTCCAGCACAGGGAGTAGACAGGGCCAGTGTGGGCACTGGGAGATACGGAAGCTTGAAGGATGATATCCACCGGGTGGGGGGAGTTTACATGTGGCAAGGGAGAACACGAGGACCCTTGGGGGCTGGGAGATCATGGGGACTGGAGCTGGGGAGAGCGTGGGGGGGGCAGTAAAGAGGAGACTGGGCCAGGCTGGGCTGGACCTAGAGGCTGGGAGGGCCCCTAAGTTACCCTTGCCCCAGCCAGCGGCAGTATGAGCTGGAGGATCAGAGGGAGCCAGGCATAGCCCCAGGATGCCAGGGTTCTAAGGTGGGTTTAAATGTGAACGTTTTATTAAAAGCAAATGTTTGCCTTTGGTTAAAATGTCCTCAGAAGAGTCTGAAAAATACTTTTTTTTTTTTAACCCATGGGGTGGAGGGAATGAATGTTTGATCTCTGGACTCCAGATCCCCTCGCCACAAAGGCACAGGATTTGCCACCATAAAGGTGACGGAGGCAGATCTTCCCAGAAACACCAGCCCTCTGGTCTGTGGTGTCCTGCAGGGAACTGGGCAGCAGCTCCCCCCCCACCAGCCTCCCAGAGGAGCCCCAGCTCCACAGCCACGTCATTGTGAGGCTGTCTCCCCACACTGCCTCAACCCCACTGCCTGTGGAGCAAGAGAGGTTTCTGAGGCCCCCACTGGCTTTGAGGCTGCTGGAGGGGACCTCTTCCTGTTCATCTCCCTGGGTCCTTCCTAAGAAAATGAATTTGACAAGAACAAATGCTGAGTGTCTACAGGACACGCCCTGGAGCCCACTGCCCGCCAGCATCGCAGGCAGAGGCCTAGAGAGAAGCTGAAAGGCGGGAAGGGGGTGGCGGACAGGGAAGGGGGTCACTTGAGAGTCGGGGAAGCAGGGAAGCAGGCAGACATGCCGTGGCTACTGAAAGATCCAGGCCAAGAGACAGACCAACGGGCCCCCTTTGTGCCTATCAAGACAGGGCCACAGGAGGGCACAGGAAAGAGGTGGGCAACTGGGCAGGCAGGCAGAGATAAAGGGACAGATCAACGTGAATGGGCAGGCGAAGACAGAACAGCCAGAGAAAATGGACAGGGAGGCAGACGGGCCAATAGACAGGCAGCAAAGTGAAAATGAGGTGTCCCAGTGGGCAGTCAGATGGGCATGGGGGCAGCGGGGCAAGAGCAGACACGCCGGAGACCAGGAGTGGAGGGTCAGGATGAGGAAGCAGTGGGCACTCGGGCAAGGCAGCCCTACCTCATTCTGTAGGGACGGGGCCCTGCGGTCAGGATACTCCCACCCCGAATCGCAAGGCTGTGTCTCATTGAAGCGGTGGGCGAGGATGTCCTCCAGGCTGGCATTGGCAGGGGGTGGCCGGAACATGAGGCAGGGCTCGGGGCGGCCCGCCGCGCCCAGGGGCACGCTCAGGGACAGCTGCTCCGCTGCGCTGAGGTTGAAAGTGTGGTTCTTGACCCAGGCCACTGAGCAGTGGTGGGTCTCATCCAGGACCATGAAGATCTGGGAAAACATGTGGAAGGAAGACAGGAAGTTGGGGATACTCAGCATTACCAGCAGCCACTTCTGGAAGCGTCCAAAGTTGCCTATTTCGGTCAGGACTTGGGAGAATTCTGCCATGTCTGCTGGTTGCTGCCTCCTGGCGCGGAGGCCACCAGACAGCTCTGCAGCCTGGCTCTGGGGCACTTTCTCCTCTGGGCAGTAGTGACAGCTGCATTAATGTTTAATCCAGCCTTGCCCATTTCCACCTGTCACACCGCAGCTCCCCAGCTGTGGCCTGGGAAGGACAGAGTACGATGAAAAAACAGCCTACTCTGCCTTGCAGAACCTGAGGATTTTTAGTGATTGAGATGGACACAGGCATCACCAGAGGATCTGCCCCTTTATCTCTGCCTGCAGGCAGGCACCCCTCCCCGTTCCAGTTGCAGCATCCTAATTAATCCACCGCTCAAACCCCTCGCTCAAACCCCTCGGAATACAATGGGATCCATTCTGAGAACAGTTGCAACACTCTGGGGAAACCCTTTCTTGAAGGGGATCTGCCCGCTGAGCGGCCAGGTCAGGTGAGCGGCCAGGACCCTTCCTACACATTCATCCTGCCAGCAGCCTCCGGCCCCGGTATATACCTTTCTTCTTGTGGGTGGCCAGGGCATGATGGTTTGTGACACCAGTCAGTCCCCTAGCAGCGTGCAGGCCAGCAGCCCCTCCCAGGACATAGGGGAGGCCCCAGCAAATCCACCTATTTACCTTGGGGGAGTCTTCCTAGAGGTAGGCCCTGGAAGGTGCCTCTTTCAGCTATGGGAGGTGAGGGATGATGGGACTGAGGAGGGCAGTAGGGAAAAATGCACCCACTCACCCACATTCCTGTTCAGCACCAGAGGAAATTCAAGAATGCACTAAAATCACAGAAGTCAAGAGTTGCATTTTGAGCTCTGCTTTAATGGAGAAAGAGATCATTAGCATTCTCCCAAGATTTTAAAAAAAAGGCCAAGGGCCCCGGGGCGCCCCAGATACCCTAAGCAAGCTAAGCAATCTTAGCGATAACAAAGGAACATAGGACAAAGTCCTCCCTCCACCACAGTGCCAGCCGCGGAAGCCCTGCTGGGGCCCCTCCTGACCTTGATGGAGACAGCCAAGTCCGCAAGTCCAAGTCCGATGCTTGCTCAGGGCTGGGACCCACAGAAAGGCAGGACCCCAGGGAAGAGGACCCTCCTGAAGATAAAAGCCCTGGCCTCTTTACCCCTGGGGCAGTCTTCCTGGAGGTCGGCCCAGGGCTTGGGAAGTGCCTCTTGCAGTTAGCCAGTGAATGATGCCACTGAAGAGGGCAGCAGGGATACACGCTTTGGATTTTGAACCATTTTAGAAGCAGCCAGAGCAGTACAAGTGGAGAGACTCAAGGGAACAAGGCTGTGCACGGCGGTTCTGGAGCACGTGCCTCCACTTTGGCTCTCCGGCTGGCACCTCTTCACACTGTGATCTCACTGTCCAGGGAGGCTGAGCCCAACACCAACACTACTTCCCCAAGAAGCCCGGTAAGCCTCCTCCTCTCGTGGAAAGACTGGGACGCCTCTGGCCCTTATGGAAATTCAACAGGCTGCTCCTCACCCATATCTCCTTGCACCTTGATTCATCTCAAAGGTGAGATCAAAGAGCAGAGTCATGTCTTTTAAACACCCGGGCTGTTTAAATAGAATGAATCCACTCCTTAAAGGAACAGGACGATACTGGGAGCCTTGTGCCCCTGGACTAGAGGGTGCTGATCTGTGCTGTGGAGAGGCTGTTCCTCAAACAGACCCTTACAGGAATGTTCAAGGTGGTGGTGTCTCAAATATCTCCCAAACTTAGGAATTAATGATTCCACTAAATAAAAACAGGCGATAAGGAGATAAGGAGTTAGTTAACTGCGATTATCAGTTCAATACTGATAAAAACAGTGTTTAAGGAGCCTGACACTCTATTGTAAGAAGGAAAAAGATGAAACAAACTGAAAAATCAGCATCTCTTCCAAAATCCTTCAGAGAAGTGGATC